GTGGGGTTGCATTTGTATTATTGTGTGTCGTGTTGTGGACAATGACAACCTTGGTGTTTGATTGCAGTGTAAGAGTGGTACTATGAGGTGACATCACACCAAATATTTAGTAATACTTTTTACTGTTTTTACCTTTTTGCATTTATTACGTGCAATAATTGTTTGCAATGCTGGGGCCTACTCGAACTCTTCTTTTTTATCCTTAAGGAAACATTAATTTGAAGTCCAATTCTATCATTAAGTAGATTCACCACTATTGTTCGGATTAAGTCTGAACTCGATCTGATTTGAAAAATATATATTTATTATTTGACTTTGATCGAAAAATTATATATTATATATCCCAAAAAATATCCCAAAAGTCATAAAATGATATAAAAAACACATGATTTACATAAAAAAACGTCATTTAATCATAAATCAAACATAAACCCTTAAATGTTCAAATATTAAAATCTTAAAACATCTCCATGCTTATAAAAGTCTTACTACTACGAAAGATTAAAAACACACTATCTTGATGTTTCGATCCCGAAATGAAGCTCATTTAACTAGCTACTATATTCCTCCAAGACTTGGTTGCTTCTCCACTCTCTTTCTCATTCACTTGAAGCTATAAAGACTTAAGGAAAGAAGAAGATAAATGAAGAAGATGAAGGCTCTTTGGCCACAAAACCCAAAAGATAAGAAAAATCCTAGTATCAACATTGTTTTCTTTAATAGTATAATTACATTTTTAGTCCTTTGTATTTTTATCCTGAACCAAAAATACCCCTTTTTCCAACCACATACCTCAGTATCAATCAAGTCCGAAATACAAACAATGGAATCAATAGGAGGGTTTGAAATTTTGCGTGGAGGTGAACTAGGTAACCGGTAATCATTCCAAACAGAAATGGAATGACACCCCATATTTTCTAGTCAAGTTCTTTCTCAAGAAGGACACGCGCACTCCAAATACTACGCCAAGCATACGAAGGCCGACCACCTAGGGGCACACGAAGGAAATCAGTCAAATGATAATATTTCACTCGCAATAATCTACTAACCAGTTACTTCGTATGCAAAAACAATCTTCAACCATGTTTCACTAGTAAAGTAGTGTTGAATTTCGCCATATCTCGAAAGCCCATTCCCCTATAATCCTTCGAAGTACTTAATTTTTCCCATGAGCGCCAATGAATCCATCTTCCATTATCAGATTTCTGCCACCAAAAGCACGACATGATCCCCTCTAATTCCGCACAAAAACTCTTAGGAAATAGGAAAAAAATCATCGTATAGAGAAGTAAAGCTTGCAAAACCGATTTAACAAACACCTATTTACCTAGGGATGGCAACGGGCCGGGTTCGGGCCGGGTTCGGGCCGGGTATTGGTCCCCCGTCCCCGTCCCCGTTTAAAAAACCGGTACCCGTCCCCGTTTAAAAAATCGCGGGGATTTAAACGGGGATCCCCGTCAGGTAATCGGGGAAAATCGCGGGGAAACGGGTATCCCCGTTTAGCACAAACGATTATTTAAACGGGTATTAGGCCAGGTATTGGGTCGGTATTGGGCTGGGAATCGGGCCGGGTATATATATATATATATATTTAAATTAAATATATATTTTTTATTTAAATTAAATTTATTAATATTATATATATATATATAAATAATTATTTTTAATATTTATCGGGTCGGGTATCGGGGCGGGTAATCGGGGCGGATAATCGGGTAATTGGGGCGAGGATTACCAAACCCGTCCCCGTCCCCGTCCCCGTTTAAAATAAATGGATTTTCCCCGTCCCCGTCCCCGTTTATCATCCCCGAACCCGACCCGTTTAATTCGGTTTTCGGTTTTCCCCGTCGGGTTCGGATTTTTTTTGCCATCCCTATATTTACCCCCTTGAGAGAGAAAATGATTGCTCCATGAATGAATATGTGCTACAAACTTTTCCTTTAAATACTATAACTCTCGCTTCTTTCTGCGTCCAATAATTGCAGGAAGACCGAGGTATTTTTCGGGGCACGAAGTGTGGAAAACCTCTAAAGTCTGTCTCACAACATGCCTTATATCATCAACTATATTTGAGCTAAAAAAGAGCCCAGATTTATCAAAGTTCACCATTTTTACTGAATTTTGGCTATATGTGGCAATAATATCCTTCAAAACCACAACCATTCTTGCATCCGCTTCACCAAAAGTAATTTAATCATCCGCAAACAACAAATGAGAAATAAGAGGGGCATACCTGTTTATTCTGACACCCTTTAGACTCTCCAATCCGATAGCCCTTCGAATGAGAAAAGAGAGGCCTTCACAACAAAGGAGAAAAAGATAGGGACTTTGAGGATCCCCTTGCCTTAAACCCCTATGTGGAAAAAAAATGTTTCCCCTGTCTTACTATTAATAACAACCGTATACGAGACAAAATAAACACAAGATTGAAGTAAAGAAATCCAGTACTGGGAGAAACCCCTACGGTCCATGACACCCCAAATAAACGGCCACTCCACTCTATCGTACGCTTTTCTCATGTCCAGCTTTAAGGTAAAATAACCCTTAGATCTTTCACGTTTTTGAACAAAAGAATGAAAGAGTTCATATGTCGTTAGAATATTGTATGAGATAAGCCTCCTCGGGATAAAAACACTCTGAGCCTCGTCTATACATCCATCCATCATGTTATGTATCTGATTAGTAAGAATCTTCGAAATAATTTTAAACAGCACGTTACACAAACTTATGGGTCAACACTAGGTAATTTTTCACGAAGACTAAACTTTCAGAATAAGCACAATATGGGTTTTATTAATCTCCTGCATTTGGTATTTACCTTCAAACCAATGCAAAAATATGAAACTTTTGTGCTGATTATATGCCAAAAGCGTTGGTAGAAAATAGCCCCTAAACCGTCCTCCCCCGACGCATTAAGAGGACCTATAGTCTTTACCACCGCATAGACATCCTCAGGAGTGAAGGCCCTTGCCAATCGCATATTCATTTCTGGCGAGATACATGGGCGAATATCTTCCAGGACTTCATTCTCAACCATATTATTATTTGAGGGAAATAACTCTTGAAAATAGTTCCTGGCGCATTCCTCGATGGCAATAACCCCTTCAAAAGTATCACCACCGTCATTCTCCACCCTCTGTATTTTATTATGTTTCTTGAGGTTGGTTGCAAAGCGATAAAAAAAATGTTGTATTCTTGTCCCCGTTCCGAAGCCATTTCGCACGGGCCCGTTGTTCCCAAAAGATTTCCTCTTTGTCTTCTTCCATATTCAGATGAAGTTTCGTCTCCATAATAGCATCCAATACCTCATCATTCGGAAACATCTCCAGAAGGTCCTGTAATTTCTACCGCATCTGAGTACTAGTAACCCGTTGTTCACGACGCAAATTTTTGAACCATCTATCCAAACCTCAGCACATCATTTCAAGCTTACCAAGTAAAGAGCCTGATGAAGAACTCTATAGCTTGCAAGCTTCTGCTTCACAGGACTCCTCAAGCAACCATGACGCCTCAAACTTGAAGTGCCAGAACCGACGATCTTCCAACATATGACTGGTATGCAAAAGCAAGGGACAATGATCCGACATAGCATGGACTAAGTGCTGAAGTTCATAATTTCGAAATAGGTTCCACCAGGCAGAATTTGCAACACCCAGATCCAGCCGTTCCCGAATGTTTGTTTCAACTCGCTCCCATGTGAACCATACACCCGTATAACCCACATCTTCGAGACCACAGTCACCAAGAGCCAAACGAAAATCCCGCATCTGTCTGTCGCTACATAAATGACCACCAGATTTCTCATACGAGAACATAATTTCATTGAAATCACCAAAAACAAACCAGGGGATATTCGGGCAGTCATCTAATTATCTAATGAGATTCCAAGATTCAATACGCTGACTTTTCTTAAGCTCCGTAGAAGCCAGTGCATCTCCAGTTCAAATTATCCAAATCATAAAAAATCATCACATCAATATATGAATGCGAAAACGATCTCAAAGTCATTGTACAACCTTCCCTCCAAGCTAAACTGAGACCCCCTATGCTTCCAGTCGCATCTACATCAATTCCATTTCTAAAACCACACTTACATCTCACTCTAACCATCCTACTACTCGGTAGTTTCGTTTCCATTAGAAAAACCACCGAGGGGTTGACGTCTCTCAGCGCGTGCTGGACACAACGAACTGTCCGAGGCCTCCCAAAGCCCTGAACATTCCAACTTAAGAGCCTCATTGGATCCGGCTGGCCTGATATGACAGGCCTGTCGATGTGTATGTATTCACTCTGGTAATCGGTGTTTATTTATTTATTTTATTGATTTAACTTTATTCTGGATCATTGGGTTGATTCTCTTTTTATTGTTCAACCCTCGCAATCACCAATACCAGATCATGAATGATTAAATCAATTTATTAACATAATGTCATTGTTATATACATTCTACTGTTAGTATGATAATGTTTATCTTTCATTTTTGACTGTGGGTGTTTGATTGTATCTATTATTTTTTTCTACATTATTTGAGTAGTTTTTAACCTCCTTTCATTATATATATATTCTTATTTTAATTGATATTTAACAATTAATTTGTACACTTTGATAGTTTTAGAAAAACAATAGATGAATATAATTTAATATACTCTAATTTTATAACATATTTTTATAATTTTCATATACTAATTTTTTAATATACCAAAGAAGTTACTAAATAGTTTTTATAATACAAACCATGCCCATATAGAGCTTAAATGACAATAACAAAGATATACATAAAACCCTAAACATACTGAAGAGGCATGCTTTGGCGCCACCCATCACTGTCGATGAAAGACATGCTGGTTAACTTGGCCACAGTTTGGGGATCAAGATTCTTCATCCACTTCACCCTCTTCGATGTATCAGCACCTGGTCCAAAGTTTTTGTGCTCGGCAAAAGTAAACTGTTGCCTGAAACATTTAATCAACGTCAAAGATTCGAATTTCGAATCCGAATATCGAAAGTTATCTAACACGAAAATCTAATATTCGAATTCTAATATTACGAAGAAAAAAGAAGAAGAAGTGGGACGTACTCTTTGCCAACACGTCTCCAAGCATTCCAACCTAGTGGATACACAACGTTTGAGAAATTGCAATTATAGAACAAAACCCTAGAGAAATCTCGCCATGCCCTGCCCAAATACGTCGCCCCTTTCCCTTAGATGTTGCAGTTCTTGAAGATGAATCCGGTCGGTTCATCCGGGTCGTTCCTCGCTTGTGCCGTGATGAAACCGGCAAGCACCGGCGGCAACATCTCCCCCGAGGTAATGTATAGAACAATCCTATACGAAAGAACGACCGACAACATTTGCATGTAACTAACTCGTAATCGTATTTAGAATTTGATGTCGATGAAATGACTAATAAAATCACCTCGTAGATAGATTGGCCGTTACCGAAAATGAAATCGACGGCACCTCTGATGTAGCATTCCTTGAAGTAATGGCGACCGATGGAATCGAACAAAGTATCTTGAACACCCGAGAATCCGCATCGGAAGAAGAAGCTTTTGTCTCCGTTAACCATTGCGGCTACGGCCGGAGCCTTAGCGTGTCTTCTCTCTGGACCCCAGTATGAATTCTATTCATTTCCATCCATCCATCCATCCATCCATCCATACAAGATAACATTATTTAAAAATATATAAAACCAAAACTTTTAAAAGAAAAAGAAAGTAAATTAATCTGCTTACTATGAAACTCAAGGATGTGACAATAATATTATCAGCAAAAGAACTGAAAGTTGCGTCATGTAGATATGGCTCATTCCACACCACCATGGTTTTTATTTGTCCAGAACCCTTGAGAAGTATGAATGGCTTGTCTCTTGGAATTTGCACCTTCTCCCTATATACAAAATATTTCATATATACATACATAAACACATATATACATAAATACATACATACCTGTATGTCCCAGGATTAACATTGATGCAATACCAATCTGCATTATTTGATGGAACCGAGTCTATAGCTGATTGAATAGTGGAAAAATCTGCATGGCCAGATTGATCGACTCTTACTGTTTTGCATGCGGCTGATATTTGTTCGAAACACAGTAAAAAAGCTATGAATAGAGTGTAAAAGCAGTGAATCAGTGGCATCTTGAGGTTTAGTTAATGGTAAAAAAACAATTACAAGGGGATTAAGAGAAAAGGAATAATGGTGGGTAAGAAATGTTGGGTAATTTACAGTGAAAATCAGAGAAGTTTTTAAAGAAGAAAGCTTAAAAGTCAACTACATGCTTATGGAAAGATATCAGTAAGAACGTTCTCTTTTGATTGTTTGCTTTTGCTTTGGATTTGATTATGTTATCCAGACCTGAAATCTGATTCGAACATAAATGTATAAATAAGTTAACAAAAAAAAAACATAAATTTTGGATAAAATCATGTCGGAACTGTTTTGGGAAGAAATTTGATAATTTTTATTTCTTCATGCATCTACATTGTTTGTTTAACCACAAGAGGACCATGTAATATGAAGCTGGTATTCACTGGATCACATCAAACAATATTAAATAATACATGTCCTTGATTAAGATACAATTTATTTTCGATTTGACACATCTAAGACCAACAATTAGTGTCATAAGGGAACTTGTATAATATCTAGGTTTGACTATAAAATAAGTGTCTAAACTATATTACTTTTCTCAAGTAAGTGTTTAATTTTTTTATAGTGTCTAACATTATAAACGTTATCATTTTAGGTGTTCAAACCATAACGACAGTTAAACTCCACCTTTAAGTGACACGTGTCATGTTCTGACAATTTTAAAATTTTATTTGAATAAGTAAAATGAAATTATATATTTTAAAAAATATATCAACTTTGACAAGTCCAATTTCAATCCCTAAACCCACACAGGTTGTCGTCGTTTGACATTGATCGAACCTCCACCAAAATCTACACCGTACAAGTCAAATCAAACCATAGACAACGCTTCTCCGATGAAGTAACAACAAAATCGCTACCCAAAATCGCATCTTCGGTGAACTCAAACCCTAAATTCATGACAATAGGAGATCCAATGACACACACGACGATAAGGGAGACAACGATCGATCGGAGAGATGATAAGGGCATTGGCGGCGGCCATGGATTGCAAGGGAGGTTAGGGTCAGAGCTAGGATTAAGGATTAGGGATTTGTGGCTTCTTTCTAATATTAGAAAAAATAGAGTTTTTTTAAAAAAACAATAGTTTTTATTTTAAAAAATTCAAAATACCAGAGCATGACACATGTCACTTAACGAAATTTTTTAACGGTCGTTACGTCCCAGGCACCTAAAATGGTAACGTTTATAACGCTAGTAACCTTGATAATCCAAAAAGAAAGTTTAGACACTTGTTTTAGAAAAATAGTATAATCCGGGCGCTTATTTTATAATCAAACCTAATATCTAATACATATATCTTCCTTCTATGTATGAATTAAGTTGATCAAGAGTGATATCTTATTATTCATGATACATGTTATCATAACTATATGGATGTTTTCTTTTAAAAAATGTTTATATGAATCTATATAAATAGTTTAGAGCTATTACATGTAATTAGGTTATTTGAATGTTTAATTACATTATATATTATTATATTTACGTATTATTTTATTTAGAAATTGATGTGAGTCAAAACGGATTAAGAATATTATAATTAATCAAAGAATAAAGACCCAATAAACAACAAGGAGGTTAGCAGCATGCTCCTAAGGATTTCTTGGTTTTTTAAAAAAAATTAAATTAATTTTTGATTAAATAGAGATATTATTTTCCCAAGATCAATATGAGGATTTAAATCATATAATGCGGAACAATATGAATATTCTTAGTCACTTGACGAATTAATAGATCTCTAAAACAAAATTATAAATACATTCAAAGAATTATATTATAATAAAAAAAGTATCGAATAGTAGTATAGATAGGGGTGTTCAAATTCGGGTACCCACATTTTAGGTACTCGAAATGCTGGGTGTCCGAGACTTTCGGGTAAAAATTTTTTTGGCTCATTACTTAGCACTTGCCCGTAGAGACGAGTACCTGTAAAATTCATATATCCACATTTTCGAATCACGAGTACCTACTTAATATTTATTTTATTTTTATATTATTTTTTAAGAAAAGTTCACTTAAAAAACATAAAATTTCAAACTTGTGAACATCATAAACGTTATTATCGCTTATTTCGTGACGAATAATAAAATTAAAAATACCAATAGGGATAATATTTTATCTGGAAATTTGTTTGATAGAGAAAAATTGGTGCTTAATAAGTTGATCAAGATCATCATAGAAATTGTATTAAAGATTTAAAGTAGACACGTGCTCATCTTAAATTTATTCTTTTTATTAGTGATTTATTTTATTGATTGCGTCCTTCGTCATATTTTAATTTGTGTCCACCCAGTACATAAATTATGTATGGTTAATATATGTGTTCTCGCCCAACATCTAACAATATGGTTCGATTATAAAACATTTAACTACAAAAAAAAAGCATGAACTAACTTATCTTTGTTGTTAAAAGAATTATTGTTGTTCTTAGAGATCACGAGTTCGAACACCAGCTACTGTAGCAGGGTGATTGAGTGTTCATTGTCAAATGGTTACTTAATAATTTTGATTACACAAAGATGACCATACATAACTTCAATTGAAATGAACCATTAAAAATATATAAACAAAACCCTAAAAATACTTGACAGGGAAGCTTTGCAACCACCCATCACTGTCGATGAATGACATGCTGGTTAACATGGCCACAGTTGGAGCTTTAAGATTCTTCAACCACTTCACCCTCTTCGATTTGTTTGCTCCTGGTCCATAGTTGTTGTACTCGGCGAAGGTTAAATATTTCCTACATTCGAAAAGCAAGATGTTAAATTCGAGGATTGTGACACCCTCTTCTGGATTCGATCGAATCGTGTTTAGGGTCGGGTTTAAAGAGTTGGAGTAGTATTAGTGGTAGCGGTGATTGTGGTCACTTACTCTTCCCCGACACTATTCCAAGCATTCCAACCCCTAGGATTGACAACGTTTGAAAACCTGCAGTTATAAAACAAAACCCTAGAGAAGTCTCTCCATGGCCTTCCCAAAAATGTCGTCCCTTTCCCATAGATGCGGCAGTTCTTGAAAACGAACCCGCTCGAAACTTGCGGGTTGTTCCTTCCCTGTGCCGTGATGAAACCGGCGAGCCCCCGCGGCAACGTATCCCCGAGATAACGTATAGAACAATCCTACAAGACAATAATCAACAACATTTGCATGTAGCCACTCGTAATCGTATTTAAAAATTTACGTCGACACGACGACTAATAAAAATTACCTCGTAAATCGATTGGCCGTTGCCAAAAATGAAATCTACAGCACCTTCGATGTGGCATCTCTTGAAGTAATGGCGACCGGTAGCATCCCACAATGTATCTTGAACACTCGAGAAACCACATCGGAAGAAGCTTTTGTCGCCGTTGATCAGCGCAGCTACTGCCGGAGCCCTGGCGTTTTTGCTATTTGGACCGTTGTATGAATTCTATTCATTCCCATCCATCCATAAATACATACATACATACATAAAAATGATAAAATTATTTAAAATATACAAAACCAAAGCTTTTAAAAGAAAAGAAAAGAAAAGAAAGTAATTAATTTGTTTACCACGAAACTGATGGAGTTGACAATAATATTATCGGCTAAAGAACTGAAAGTTGGGGCTTGTAGATATGGCTCATTCCAGACCACCATGGTTTTCTTTTGTCCAGAACCTTTGAGAATTATGAACGGCTTGTCATGTGGGATTACCACCTTCTCCCTATACACAAAACATTTCATATACATACATACATACATATATACATACATACATACATACATACATACATACATACATACATACATACATACATACAATAATCGATATAAACCAAACATATATATACACCTGTATGTGCCTGGACTAACATTGATGCAATGCCAATTTCTATTATGTGATGGAACTGAGTTAACAGCTGATTGAATAGTGGAATAATGTCCACGGCCAGATTTATCGACCGTCACCGTTTTGCATGCTTCTGATATTTGTTCGAGACACAGTAAAAAAACAATGCACAGTGTGCAAAGGCAGTGAACCAGTTCCATCTTCGAGGTTCAGTTAAAGGTGGGGAAGAAAATACCGTGTAATTTACGGAGAAAATAAAAAAAAATTAAAGGACAAAACTATTGATTCATGGTAGGGATTTGATCAGGTATTTGTACATGGGAGGTTTTAAGATAATTTTATAGCTCAACTTTTAAATGTTACGAAATAATTTAATAATTGAAATGTTACGAAATAGTCATAAATTTATTAGAATGTTACAAATATTCATTAAATCCATCTGACTTTATTATTGTTATAACGATGCGTGATCATTCTGTAATATTTTAATAAATATAGTGATTATTTTGTAATGGTTTGATAACTATAATGATATTTTTGATTTTCGAAAGTTTAGTGGTTAAAAGTACGATTTGTCGATAGTTTAGCGACTTTTAATGTATTGTACCTTTAAAAATACTCTTATAACAAAAAAAAATATAAAATAGAGAAAAAAAACATATGATTTTGGATTTAAAAACCTTGTTGTGGTATGAAAATGTTCCCATGAATGGGAAAATGGTAATTAAGGAAAATGTTATAAGACGTGGAGCTTGATTAGGGAAAATTAAATAATATATTATTTTTATATGAATTTTAATGAATCTTTTTTATGCATTAATTTCAGCATTTTCAAACAACAATATCTTAATTTCCCTAAACTTTACGACCTTTATTTGTTTAGCATTTTAGTTTGCTGTTACAGACAAGACATTTAATTACATTTATTTCTCAAGAATAATATGACAAATATAATATTATTATATATTTGAGAAATTGTATGGTAGAGGCTTAGTGCATCCGCCACTGTTAACAGCGATGTGTGACGTAGGGATCTGGATATCCCATACTATCTACAAATATAATAATTTTGTCTGAAATGCCATTTTTATGTATGTTGATATACATAAGATGACATCATATATCCGAGTACAACTCTTGTTTCTTTGGTGAATATTTGTATTCACATAACCTTACTCATATAAGCATGTAACTCTGATTAACACTATAGTTTTGTATTATTTGATTTACAAAATGTCTTAATGCATAGAGCTTCAACTTTTGTATAAACGATTTATTCTGTTTGTTTATCGATTTAACTATCATGGCTGTTTTAAAACGATGAATGTGTATTAAAAATTTTCAAGGCTCAAAATGTATGTCGCTCGATGACTCAATGTGACATCTTAAGCTTATTATTATTTACATATCAGATTTAGGATGTTGAAAATTCTTTCTTTCTTTCTTTTTTAACATGCCAAATTCAAACTATCCATGTAATGGGTGCACATTATTTAAAACTTTATTCACGTCTTAAAAATATGTTCTACATCACATCTAAGTTACCATTAATAAGGTAGTGTCTATTATCAATATTTTAAGTCATTTAAAAATGAATACTCAAACACTTATGCTGACGTTGGTGTTCGAATATGGGACCAGTGATGGACCAAGGGAGCGGGTGAGAACAGTCGCCCCTGAAATTTTATAAGTTCAAGTTCCCCCAACATAAAATCATGCGTCGTCTCTTCATGGGACCTCTAAGAATAATGATCATCCCTTTAACCATTGAGGTAACTTAATTTGTGTTCCACGATACTAACTTAAAATATTAAAACAAACATTGATGATAATATTAGTATTGTTTGAAGTATGAAATTATATATTTAGTTGAAGTTTTCTATAGCCTTTGATGCAATAGGTTTGTTGAGAACGTTTTCAGGTCAAATAGGAGGTAGTGGCATGTCACATTCATTTTTCAATAATTAATATATTTGATAAAATTATGGAATTAAATTATTTGGTTGACTAAAAGTAGGAGGTTTCGTATGGACCAATTAAATATTCCATAAGATATTGGGGTGCTTGCTATATAAACTTCAAGCTCTCTGTTGTAGTTCACATAACAGAAATACAAATTCTTTTAGGTGGTGTTTGGTTCGCTGGAATGTTTCTGAGGGAATTGGAATCTGTGAAGGAATTGGAATCTGTGAAGGAATTGGAATATGAAGGAATTGGAATCTGAATTTGAAACCTGTTTGGTTGGCAAGAAATTGAATTGGAATCCAATTCCATATTATGTTTGGTTCACAGACATGTCAGATGAATTTGATTTCAGTAATGTAAAATGACAAAATTGCCCTTCTTGTTTTTTTGCTTAATTTTAGTTTGTTTTATAACTTACATGTAGCATTATATTATAAAAATTTAAAAAAATGTTAAATTTTCATTTTATTGATTAATTATTCATTTCAATAAATTATAAAAATCATACTAATAAACATCATAAGTAAAAATCATCCCAATTAGGGATGGCCATAGGTCGGGTTGGGTCGGGTTTTTGGTCCACCCAACTCGACCCGAGAATAAGGGAACCTCCACCCGAGACCCGACCTAACCAAAATAAAGTTTCACCCGACCCGACCCGAAATAATAAAAAATTATTTTTATTCAATAAAAACAGTGACTTAATTGAAAAAAATTATATATAGAGGGGTATTATTGTAATTATTCCTAAATATATAAGGTAAAATTATATATTTTTTTCGGGTCAGGTCGGGTATTTTTCATCATAAACCCGAACTCGACCCAAATATCAAACTTAAAAAAACCCGACCCGAACCCAAAATTTTTTAACAAAAATCCGACCCAAATACCAAAAGATTGATGAGAGTAATATGATCAAATTTCACATTCCCTCCTCCAAAGGATTTCAATTTCATCATGTTATGAATGAAATTTACTTTCCCTCCCTTGATGGAATTGGATTCCAATTCCCCCTTTGAAAACTTGAACCAAACATGGGAAAGTGGTGGAATTGGATTCCAATTCCCCTTAATTCCAAGAGATTTCAACGAACCAAACGCCACCTTAGTTGTATGGAATAGAGAGTACAAAAAGATTTGGATATTTAGTGTCTTGTTCCTGCCAAAATGGCCAAGATTGCTCTACACCAAGCCTATGCCTTGGCATTGTGCTTGATAATAAGCAATGTAGTTGCAACCATCGAGCATGCTCGATACAAGTACGAGTCACCATTACTTTCTCCGTACAAGTATGAGTCACCACCTCCACCTCCATATAAGTACAAGTCACCCTCACCTCCTCCGTACAAGTATGAGTCACCACCTCCAACTCCATACAAGTACAAGTCACCATCACCTCCTCCGTACAAGAATGAGTCATCACCTCCACCTCCATACAAGTACATGTCACCACCACCTCCTCCGTACAAGTATGAGTCGCCTCCTCCTCCTCCGTACAAGTACAAGTCACCCCTACCTCCTCTGTACAAGTATGAGTCACCACCTCCACCTCTATATAAATACAAGTCACCACCACCACCTCCGTACAAATATGAGTCTCCGCCTCCAGCTCCATACAAGTACAAGTCACCACCACTCCCTCCTTACAAGTATGAGTCACCACCTCCACCTCCACCTCCATACAAGTATAAATCACCACCACCACCACCTCCTTACAAGTATGAGTTTCCACCTCCACCTCCACCTCCATACAAGTACAAGTCCCCCCACCTCCCCCATATGCTTACAAGTCACCTCCACCACCCGCATATTAGAAGTAAACTCCACAAAATCCTACTTTCATTTAAAGATCTCCTCTTCCTCAGCCACATCTCCTTTATTTCCACGTCATTAAATATGTATGCCTTTGTGTCCATCATATTCGATTCTACCTCAAACCTCCAAGTATTTATGCTAAGTTGAAAGAAGCCTAAGTATTTAATTAAACAAAAGCATTTCTTTGTACATGCCTTTGGTTTCAATTATCATTTCATTTAATCATAGTTTGGTTTGTGTGCTTGATGTTGATGTAATAAGAGAAAGGGATTGTAGCTTCATCTAGTCATCAGTTTCTTGAAAGCTTTGTGATTATTCCGTTGAGTCATAGCCCCTTTTGCGAGTAATGGATTTGTTATGTTTTCAAGAATAATTAATTTGTAATTGTTTGTAATTTTCACTATTACATTAATTTAAATTAATGTAATTTGAATTCGGTTGATTAATATATCCTCTCTCTCTTTTTTTGTTTTCTTAAAAAAATATTTATATGTCCAAAAATATAAATTAGAATCTAATTCAGTTCAACTTAAACTCAAAAAATCAAATAAATTATTTTTAAAAAACCACAAAATTGGAATCAACTAACTCAATTTAATATATATATATATATATATATATATATATATATATATTGAATTGTTTGGGGTAAAAAACTTAGAAGTATCGAATAAGGACGGACACGTAATTTTATGATAAGGAAGTGAACTTCAACTTACAAAATTTAATGGGACGAAAATGCATTTCTAATAGAAAATAAATAGAAAAAAATCTAAAATATATGATAATTTTAAATTTTTAGGGGAGATCGCTTCCTCTCGAACCCTTCGATCCATTGTTCATACCAAATTCGAACAGTTACGTATATAAGGTGTGTGCAATGTCAATAAATGAAAAAAAAAATAAAAACAAATTCTTACAGTTATTTCATATTTTTTTTAAAAAAAATTATACCCCAATTTCACTGGAGATGTGTTATTTACACATTAAATGCATTAAAAAAAACAAAACATTTATAAAACCCATTCTAAGCACATTGACTTTTTGGAATCAACCCTTTGGCATAAGTTCATCAGTCATTATTAGATTGTATCATTCTTAGTTTTGTATGAAATTTAATTATTTTATTTAAAATATAAAATATAAAAGCACCATTATAATTATATTTAATTACCATTTAAAAATGTGTTTTTAAGTATTTTTAAAATAAATTGTTGTTACGTTAATTTAAAACATCTATTTAATCAAAGATTTTATAATAAATTAGATTTTATCATACTCGTAATTTATGTGAAAATATATTTTAAATAAAATATATATTTATAAAAATTTAATCAATAAATAATTATATATAAAATAGTAAATTGAGTTCAAACTATCACCTCTTATAATAAGTTTTTGCGATATCAAATCTAGATTAATTGATCAGTATATCAAATATTAATAATAAAATAAATAAATAGGATATCACTTTTTTATTTTGATTATTAGTAATAAATTGGATCTCAACTAGTGATGAACTAACTTCTATTATATGATAAATTGAAAACAAAAAGGAAATTAAAATAAAATCTCAGTCATTAGTTTACTTAAATATATAAAATTAATTTTACATGGTATAGAATTAATTTCAACCATTAATATAATGGGTAAAGTACACAAATGATATTCCAACTATAGTATATTGTTTTATCAAATCTCCCGAGTATTAAAATTTACTAAAATGGTCCCTTGACTATAGAAAGTTGTTTTGTTGAGTTTCTCTATCATTAAAAGTTACAAAATCATTAAAAGTTACAAAATGATCACTCGACTATTCATTTTATTTTATACTCATCCTTTTGCGTTAAAAAACTAATGGTCGTCTAAGCTAGACGTTAACTTACAGATTAAGATATGATAATTGTTTGAGGTTATGATATTAGATTTTATCATATCTTAGTTAGTAGGTTAACATCCATCTCATACCATCTTTAATCTTTTAATACAAAATGATTAGTTTGAAACATAAAGAATAGTCAGGTGACCATTTTAGAAGTTTTAATAGTCGAGGGACTCAACAAAGCAACTCCTTATTGTTGGAAGATTATTTTGCACACCGCCTCCCCCTCTATACGAGTCACCACCACCACCATCATACAAATACAAGTCACCATCACCTTTTCCGTACAAATACAAGTCTCCTCCTCCTCCTCCATAGAAATACAAGTCACCACCACCACCTCTGTACAAGTACGAGTCACCACCTCTACCTCCATACAAGTACGAGTCCCCACCTCCACCTCCATGCAAGTACAAGTCATCACCACCACCTCCATACAAGTATAAGTCCCCACCTCCACCTCCATACAAGTCACCACCACCACCACCTTACAAGTATGAGTCGCCACCTCCACATTCATACAAGTACAAATCAACACCACCACCTCCTTACAAGTATGAGTCTCCACCTCCACCTCCATACAAGTACAAGTCAACACCACCACCTCCTTACAAGTATGAGTCCCCACCTCCACCTCCATACAAGTACAAATCACCACCACCACATCTTTACAAGTATGAGTTCCCACCTCCACCTCCATACAAGTATAAATCAACACCACCACCTCCTTATAAGTATGAGTCCCCACATTCACCTCCAAACAAGTACAAGTCACCCCACCTCCTCCGTACAAGTATGAGTCCCCACCTCTACCTCCATTCAAGTACAAGTCACCACCACCACCACCACTTCCTTACAAGTATGAGTCACCACCTCCACCTCCTTACAAGTATGAGTCACCACCACCACCTCCGTACAAATATGAGTCTCCACCTCCACCTCCGTACAAGTACAATTTACTCCCACCTCCTTCGTACAAGTATGAGTCTCCACCTCTACCTACATACAAGTACAAGCCACCACCACCACCTCCTTACAAGTATGAGTCCCCACCTCCACCTCCATATATGTACAAATCACCACCACCACCTCCTTATAAGTATGAGTCACCACATCCACCTCTATACAAGTACAAATCACTACCACCACCTCCTTACAGGTATGAGTCACCACCACCATCTCCGTACAAATATGAGTCCCCACCTCCACCTCCATACAAGTACAAGTCACCCCTACCTCCTTCATACAAATACAAGTTACCACCTCCACCTCCACACGAGTACAAATCACCACCACCACCTCCTTACAAGTATGAGTCTCCACCTCCACCTCTATACAAGTACAAGTCTCCCCCACCTCTTCTATATGCTTACAAATCTCCCCCACCACCAACTTATTACAAATAAACTCTACAAAATCCTCATTTCATTTAAAAGATTTCATTTTCCTCAGTCTTCTCACCTTTATTTCCACCTCGTTGCATTTCTCAACCTTTGTATCCATTATATTGAATTCCACTTTAAACCTCCAAACCTTCTTCCCCATTATATCCATTTCGTCCAAGTCGGTATTACTACCAAGTCTTCATCTCCTCTTTCTTCATGTCATCCATTCCTTAGCACTAAAATCCACTCATATCCATCTATGTTTGTGCTAAGTTGAAAGAATCCTAATTATTTAATAAAACAAAAACATTTCTTTGAGCATGCCTTATGGTTTCAATTATCATTCCATTTAATCATAGATTGATTTGTGTGCTCAATGTTAATGTGACAAGTGAAAGGAATTGCAGCTACAAGAAGACAATTTTGATTCCATGCAAGCTTTGTGGTTATTCCTTTTAGCCTCATTTCTTTTTACACTTGTAATTGATTTGCTATGTTTTCAAGAATATTTAATTTGTAATTGATTGTGATGTTCAATAAATTTAAATTAATTACGATTATATGTAATCATATACCAGTATGCAAACTAATATAGTTTGAATCCTCTTGATTATGATATTATCTCTCCCATTTGTTTTCTTAAAAGAAGCATTTATGTTAAAAAATATAAACTATTTGGTGTTAAAAAATGTACACTAATTACCAATCTGAAAAGGGTAATTGCAAAATTGGAAAATGTCAATAATTTAATCAATTGGTAAACTAGTAGAGTCCGAATTGTAGTAACCAAGATCAAATCCTGAAAACATAAAATACCAAAAAGGGAACTAAAAACCAGAAAGTGTTTCTCAAGCAAAGAGGTAAAAGACAACCCCAGTAACATACTAAGGTACATAGCATAAGATCTACTTCAAAAGATTAGGGCAATAAAACTACCGACTTTGAATCAGTATTTGATAGGAGCAATGACTTGCAACTGGGCACCAAGCTTCTCCTCTGCAACCTTCTCGGCCTTAACCCTAAGTTTCGTAAGTTGCTTCCTTCTCTCGTATGCGACTTGAGCTCTTTCCTTCCTCTTCTTCTCGAGCTCCTGGTGGGAAGAACCGGGCAGAGCCATAAGTTAAAAGATGATATAAAGTCGGATGCCCAAAACCATAAGATTAATTCATCCAAGCAAATAATATTCACAGAAATCACATTCGCATCAATTGGACATCTTATACCGAAGTCCGACCAACAAGGCAACATCAATAATCAATGAATAACGCATAAGGAAAACACATAAGAACAACAATAACAAATAGATAAACACAAACAATTACTTGCATGCAGGTATTTAAATATACATAATTCGGAAGAGTTGTAAAAAAGTATTGAAAGACGAGTTGTATTTGAAAATTTGAACAGGATAATCAATCTTCACCTTGATAGTGTCATAGTGGTTCCATCCGACCTCAGATGACAGTTTGCCCAACAAGCAGTACTTGTGTCCTTTCTGAAGCCTCAAAACCCTAATTCAAAAACCAAAAGAGCAACAAAAACATAAAATATAACTAGTCATTGAAGCAATCAAATCCAAAACCAAGCAAAAGAAGCCGACAAATATTTCGAAACTCACTTGAGAGCATCAGGAATAACCATCCTCTTAATCTTATCGTAAGGAGCTGGAACCCCCTCATACACCTTCAATCGAGCAAGAGCTGCTGCTCCACGCTTGGTCTTGTGAGGAATCATCCTAAAAATCAAAACAGATATCAATAATAGTAAGGAACATTAAAGTATACTATAATTCAAATCAAAACAGAGCTCATATTTCACATACAATGAAGCAAAATACCCTTCTTCTCAAGCATAAGATTCATAGATCTTGACAGCTTAAATTATTCACCAAATCCAGCAACTATAACCTTAAGCAAACTCATAACATCTTTTCGTTTCTTTCCTATATTTCCCCAAGAATCAAACAACAATGAGGAAACAGAAAATTCATCCAAGACATTAAAGTGAACTAAATCCAATAACCAAAGACAGAACAATCCAAAAGTTAACACTAAACTCTACACAAAACCCAAGAATTATATAATGAAAGAAAATACACTTGTTCTGTAGCGTAAGATTCACAGATTCGTAGATCTTTAGAGCTTATAGTATTCACTAATTTTAGCAATAATAACCTCAAGCAAACCCAAAATAACCTTTTCCATTTCTTTCCTATATTTTTCCCAAGAACCAAACAACAATGAGGAAACAGAAAATCCATCCAAAATTTTACAGTGAACTAAATCCAATAACCAAATATTAGAACTAATCCAAAAATCTCCTTTCACTCGAAAAATTGAGGAGAAACAAGAGATTCAAAGCCCATCAAAGAAAAGAGAAATTACCCACGAATGGTACGCCAGAGGATCTTAGAAGGAGCACGGAAATGGATGGGACCATGAGAGGGTTTAGTGTTCATGCGCTTCCTCAAGAACCTCATGTACTTCATCTTCTGCCTGACCAGACCACCAGACAAGCAAATCTCTTCGCATCTAACGACGACCACTTTCTGGCCGTTCAACAACTCCTTGGCCAAAATGGAAGCCAGCCTTCCCAGCATGTGGTGCCTTGCATCCACCACCACCCTCTTGGCGCAGATCCCTGACCCGGAAACCATATTCTCTTCTCGTGTTTTGCCTCCTTTGCTTTGATCAGCTTAGGCCGCGTGCTGGTGCTTTGCTGCCACTGCGATTGCAGCAACAATATATTGATTCCTTAATAGGGTTTTTAGGGTTCGGCTTGATGAAATTGGGTTTTGATAAATAGTATATATTTTCTCATGGCCCAATTACTCTATGGCAGACCAATAAATTTCTCTTTTTTCTTCTTCTTCATTTTATTTAAATATATGAAACAAGCTACTTAAAGGTTCAATTTAATATTTTTAAATAAATTAATTGATTATAATAAAGAAAACGAATCTATAAATTTGAATAGATAAAATCAGTTTAATCGAATTGATTTAGTTTCATAATGCTTACAAAAATAGATGTCTAAACTATATTTAAAATTAACTTTTTGATGTTTAAAGAATTTTTTTTTGTTAAAAGTAAGTGTCTAAAGTTTTTTCCGTTATACTTTTAGGTGTTTACTGTTAAAAAACCATTGACACGTGTAACGTTTATAATTTTATTAAAAAAATTAAAAAATCTGAGCATGACACGAGAGCGAATATATTGAAAAACTTACAACGCTCTATTGACGTAAAGAAAGTGAAGGCAACTAGTCAACCTACTCGTCATCAAAATTATACTGAATCTCAAGACTACCAACACAACACGCCATGGCATATTGCTAACAAGGGAGCCTCATCTTCATCAAACACTAGTTCTTTGGAGGTTACGATTCAAGATTTCATATCTACCACAAAAACAATGCTGCAAGACCACTCTACTTCAATTAAAAATCAAGGAGCTTTGCTTCATAGTCAAGGCGCCTTACTTCAAAGCCATAGCTCGTCTCTGAGAGCTTTGGAAGGTCAAGTTGGTCAGATGGTCGCGGCATTGTAAGAAAGTCAGCAAGGACGAATATCGAGTAACATTGAAGTCACTAAATCTCACAAATAAGAACAATGCAATGTATTGACTCTTAGGAGTGGAACTAAGATTAATTAACAATTTAAGTTTGGGGGAAAGCAACATGATGATTTTACCTCCATTTCTGAACAAGCTGAACCTTAATTACATGATATAATTACCGAGAAGGACAAAGATGAGGGTTCTACTAGTGAACTTGCTGAAGCACTAAATTCCAATGTCAAGGCAAAAGCAATTTCTACTCCTGCAGTTGAGGAAGTTAGACACTCACCGCCCTTCCCGCAAAGATTGAAGAACCACAATGAAGTTCAATTCAAAAAGTTTGTGAAACCACTAAATCAAACGTTAGCACTAAATGGGAATAATAAATTTAAAGGAAAATTTTGAAACCCTTAACCATGTCGAGGTAGAATCACTACCTTAGAAATGAATTTGCCTCAATGTGTGTAATAGCTTCAATAGGCGGATCGTCCCCCGAGATTAACACGGTCGTTCCAAATTCCGTACACCCGAAACAAGCGTGGATTGTCGGTGGTATTACTCCTTAGATCACCGGAAATCTCTTAGTGATTATGAGAGTTTTTGAGAGAATTGTTTGAGGGTGAATTGGGTAAGTTGAGAAACTGGAATAACCTCTCTATTTATAGGTTTCATGTTAGGGGCAAAATAGTCCGACGTGCATAAGATTTATTTATGATTTAATTGTTGTATTTAAACTCTGTTGTAACAACTGAATTAAACAAATGAATATGGCCTCAAAATAATCCAAATTTGTAGTTTAATTTCAGTCGCTTGTAACTCTTGATATTATTATTAGAACTCATGTTACTAGCGTAATAATCAGTTGTTAATTCCCTTTGAACAGAGATGTAAAACAGTCCATATACATCCATCGTTACACATGTTTAAATTCTAGAAATTGGATTAAAATATTAGACTGAAAATTCTTTCACAATTTTATTTGTTCTTTCAGAGAAAAATTCCTTACGAATTTTCTCTAAAAAAATATAATCCGCGTGGATGTGTCGAATGTGAGATTGAATTTAGTACATTTATTTCTCTAAACCTTAAATATCCAATCCCAAAATATTTCCACTCAGTGTGGGATTGAGCATTACCAACGGCAGTTGGTCATACTAATGACTTGATGAAACTATATTATTTCCGATCAGTCCAAAGCGGTAAGGATTATAAGGAAAAGGGAAGATAGTAGAAAAGGGAACATGAAGGTTGGATCATTACAAATATAGACAAACAAGGGGAGGAAAATACAAAGAAATTCTGTACCAGATCAACTGACCTAATTGACTGACCCTAAAGTATCTAAACTCTAACCTACACCTTCATCCCCTTCCCTTCATGGTAAATCTGTTAGACAAAGGACTTTCGATTCGTATTCGTTTTTTTCGGTGTGTGTAACTCATTACCCTTGCTATTTTACAAATCGTTAGTCGACACATTATTTAACAGTCCTACTTCTTTCTTTACAAGTAAAAATAAAGGTGATGGAAAAGAGAACTAAACACCATCACCCTCACGAGTCACAACTGAGGTATAGGGAGGAAATATGATTCTAGGGGTCCACTTTCTCCCATTGATACCGTCCCGGAAGTGGCTTATCCTTCGCAGGATCGAAGTTGTACCTGCAAATAAGCCGGCATCTTTTATCAGATCATGACCACAATATACTGAAGTTTCAACTGAAAGTTCAAACAATCATATAAGACAGAAACGGGGTTGAAACAAATATAGTATACTTCTCAACGAATTGCCTTCGCTGGTCTACTTCTGCAAGAGCAAAGAACTCATCCATTTCATGCGATGTTGGGATGTTTCGCCGCATTGAATTGAGTAATCTCCGGTTAGTATCTGCTGAGTCGGCAGGCCTAGTAGTAGAACACGGGGTTCTTACACTCTCTGGGTCCCTTATCAAGCTACAAGGAGTCGATTCCCTAGTGCCCCTGCACCAGAAACATTAGCTATTAGCTAATGTAAAATAAAATCTACAGCTAAACACTCGATTCTCAGAAGCCAGTAAAAAGGTATTAACTATTCATTTTTTTCAGTTTTATATCTCCCAGAACCACCCTACAGAGAAAAATGAACAACATTTCAAAGGGAACCAGACCATAATAATAATTCGAAGAATCGAGCAGAAAATGTCCATGAATAAAGTTTCCTCAGTGTATGATAAAACGAAGACACCCAGTACATCAACATTTAAGAAAGACGAGTCTGCAATTCAGAAGGAAATAAACCAAAGATTTTCTCCGTTTCCATTGTGTTTCAGATCCTCTTTCCACGTTAACATCCTTCAATCACTAGTACTTTAGCAGAAAAGGCATTAAAACACATTGGAGTTCATTCAATATGCACATTAAAATCACAAAAAACTGTTATACAAGTGTTTCTGCAAGGACAAATTGTACTGACAGGGTCATAGTCATTAGAATCTCCAAAAATCATAGACATTCATTAGCTAAACCCTCGTCAGACTATCCTATGCTCAAAGCACGGAAATACAAAGCAACTTCGAAATCAATACATACATAAATAAATAAACCCAAGTTGTTAAAAGCATAATATATGAAGGAAAATGGGGCAAAATCAATTATATTAACAGAAGAAAATAAGTTATGAATGACAATGGAATGTTGGTAATGAGAGTTTTATTTCAAAAAATGAAATAAATAAAATAAATTAAGAGGGAAAAAAACCCCAAACCTCTCTTTCGCTTCAATATCCAAAATATTTTCTCCGAAAGAAGCTTCAACACTAATATTATTGCAGTTAATAATATTATCCTTTCCGTTATCTCCTTGCTCAACGTCTTCTCTTCCACTGTCACCACTCTTTTTCTTTTCCACTACCGAGTTTGACCCGCAACTCACCCGGGTCATAGAATCCGAATTAGGGCTAAGATTTTGCTCACAGTTATCCTTCTTCCTCTCCTGTTGCTGTTGCTGCCTATTCGAATCATGGTGGTGCACCACAACGGGAAGCTTCTCTAGCCGTCGGCTTCGCAGCTGGAGATACGAGCCGGCTCCATTAGCCGGAGAAGTGGGGGATTTCTTTTGGCGTTGAAGGGCGAGTGTTTTGGATCGGGTCCGAACGCCGAGGGAAGTCTGGGAGAGTTCCATGACGGCAACTTCGCCGGCCGTTTTGCGCTTCTTAATGAATTTCCCCATTTGAGGATTTTGAAAGAAAAAAACTGAGGGCTTTTTGTTGTTGGAAGAAACAGGATTTGATTTTGAAGCTTTAACCTCTCATGTGAACAAAGAAAGGCGAAAATGTGGGAATGATGCGAGATTTTCAGGTGGATACTGCGAGTATTTACCGCTTCGTTGCGCTCTTCATTTTCCTTTATCATGTACATCTCGTGATATTTTAACTACAATTTAACCATTTGAATCCCAATATTTAATTAAAATAAATTATATATAAAAATTTTGTTTTAAATAAAATAAATTCATTTTAATACCAATTTTATAATGTTATACCATGTATTTGTATTTTTTATATTATTATACATCATCATCAATAATCTTATATATATATATATATTGAGCGCTCAATGTCAAATAATTAAGAATATTTTTTCCTTCCAAGCAACCGATACAAGTGGTAGAAACCAGATAGAGGATACTGCAAGGTTAATACTGACGGGACCAAGAGACAGAACACGGGAGAAACTTTATGCGGGGGAATTGCAAGAGATTACAATGGAAATTGGCTTTGGGGTTTTGGAAGGAAAATCGGGACTTGTTCCATCTTGGAAGTAGAACTTTGGGGCATCATGAGGGATTAAAGGTTGCTTGGATGAAGGGAGAAAGAAAAGTAATTTTAGAATCTGACAACAGGGAAGCCATCAACCTCATCAAGAACAAATCGATTGAACATAGGAAATTTACTATCTTGTAGCATGTTGAGAAATTATTAAAGAATAATTGGATGGTTGAACTAAAGCACATACCTAGAGAGGCCAATCGAACAGCGGATATAATCGCCAAGCAAATATGGAGATATCAGGGAGACATAATCTTGCTACAGAATCCCCCCAAGGAAGCTGAGAAGTTTCTAGTTGTTGATAAAACGGGCAGCTGAGCAACCCTTTGTACCTCTTTTAACCAAAAAATTATTTTACTATTCTTAAAATTTTATAAAATTGTCTTCGTTTCCCACCTACTATAAAATCTTGGTCCATCTCAACATATAGATATATAGTGGAAGAATACACCTACACTATACAAAATTAATAAGTTTTACGCTAAATTATAACCATTGGATTTATATAAATTGTTGAGTTAATCGATCGATGGATTTGGCCAAGAGGGGGTGAATTGGCAATAAAAATTTTGGTGGAAGCTTTTGCAGAAAATTGAAAATATTTGCACAACGATTTAGAGTGGTTCGACTTTCTCAACCAAAGTCTACGTCCACTACCTTAGCTATCCACACTAAGGATTTTCCAACAAATTCACTAATTTGTTCTTTCTTTTGAGATCAAAGAGTAACCTTACAACTCCCTCAAGAATTATACACCAAATTCTTGAGCACACTCTTTTTCAAAGAGAAATACACAAATTTGCAAACTTACAAGGAAAACCTCACAAGGTAGATTGTTTGCACAATTCTAGAACAAAGAAAGAACACTCAAGGATAAATACAATAGAGCACAAATGGTGTTCTTGAAATCACAATCAATATTGAATGAAAAATAGGCTTGAAGTGCTCAAACAATGAGTTTGATGCTTTCTCTTTGATTCTCTCTTAATTCTTGATAATTATTGTTTATTGTTTTTGATCATTGGCTTCTAAGCTTGTTTAAATACATGTTTAATCACTTCTGAATGTTGGGGATCATTAATGAAGTTATTGGAGTTGTTTAAGTATGAAAACAATTAATATTTCTGCTTGGAGTGTGGGGGGAATCGGTACCCCCTCATAGGGAATCGATTCCCTAAGTGTAAAATTCAAATATTTCAACCGTTTAACAGGGGGGAATCGATACCCTTTAGGGGAATCGGTTCCCTCCGAGCATTCTGTTTTTCTCGGAGCCAAATCATTCAGGGGGGAATCGGTTCCCTCTGAGCAATCTGGAATTTTTGGCTTTGAAATGGTTCAAAATATTTTGTAAAATTGTTTTGAAATTATTTTAAGATTAAAACTTAATTTTACACTTGAGTAAGGATTAAAAATGACATTTGAAAGATTTGGAGTAATATTTTGATATTCTAATAATTATATCGAATATACTTAGAAAATCCTTTTGGAAAATCTTAAAATTCATTTATCTTAATTTGTTATATCGAAATATCAAAATGTTTTCAACAATCTCCCCCTTTTTGATATAACAAAACATTTTAGTAATTTTAAAATTTTGAAATCAAGTTTTGAAATTACTCCCCCTTACTCTAACACTTCTCTCCTTTAAAACACTTTAATATTTCTCCCCCTTTTTGTTAAATCAAAAAGACTTTTAAAACAAGGTTTTGAAATCATTTAGCCAGTTGATGATAAATATATATAGCTTAAGCTGCTAAGATCACAATCAAGAGAAAGATTAGCCATTAGTTCTATAATTCAATATTCATAAACAATGTGAAATGACAAAAATTGGTCATAATGCAACTAATATGTAAATGATACAAAAATAATCATTAAGCTCAAAATGAAAGTGAAAATCAAACCAAATATATAAGCATGTAAGTTCAAATATCCAATTATCCAACAAATTCAAACACCCAAAATAAAACAACCCATAAACATCAAAATGTTTCACAATTAAAAGTTCTGAGTTCGAGACGATAAATCCATTGACCCAAAGACCGAGTTTGATAAACAAATTACTAAGGAGACAACCATAAAACAAGGTTTCTACATTCTTGGAATGAACAATGTTTATGGAAACTCACTAAAGATAATCTGTGGCAGATTAATCTTCTTTTTATGTTGGATACAATATATCCACCATATATCTATGTTCCTAAGGGAGGAGTACCTACCTCCAGATGGTCTAAACCACCAAGAGATCAAATAATGAAGGAATATATCACGATGAGTTCTTAGGGTACTCTCACTATCCTTAGACTTATAGGATGAATCCACAGTCTCTTTTTCATTAAACCTGAGTTATCTAGTCCAAAATGGGTAGTGATTGTGCCAGAGTCAATAAAAATGAATTGTCCTAAAAGATAGGATCGAATTCCTATAATTTCATATCGGTGCTCGTTTTGGACACATACCACATTGGAATAGAAAAATGCGGACTAATTGATGATAAACCAAAGGTTTGAGTTTAAAGAGTTTATAAAACTTCTAGGATTTAAGAGTAGGAAGATATTGGAAGTCCATATCTTCTATAGCTTGAATCGAAGGGATACGTTCTTCCCGGATTTTATATGACTCAAAACAAGTATGGTACCTATGATATAGATCTTGTCTACGACCAGGTACGTGAAACAAGAGTTCAGAATGGTCATATTTGGGTTATTTGGATTGGGTGGAGGAATAAGAGGTCGGTTTTGACTTGAGCGACTAGACAATGTCCTAGGTCGTTTAGGATTTGACATGGTTTAAGAATCGAAATAGAATATGTAACCTACAAATTTAAACACATGTATGCAATATAATCAAACCCAAAACTCAAATGATTACTCAATATTTCAAGGTTCTCTAAACCGAATCCTAAAGGGCAATGTTTTGAAAAACTATTTGGAAAATAATGTTTGAAAATCATAATACGCATAGTTTTTATGAAAACAATATAATTGAATCAAAAACAACAATTCTCGATTTTTTTATTTCGAAATTAAAAGATAATTTTGAAAATTTGAGTGTTTTTGACGAAATTGGTTGTAAAATCATCATATAACCAATGCTCGATGTAATGTTCATCTTAGAACTAATCAAAACTGGTCCTAAGTGTAACACCCCAACCCGTACCCGACCCGAATACGAGTCCGAGGTGTCACATTGACTTTTAAAACGTTGACACTTAAAGAAAATCCCCAGGAATTTAAAAAAAAACTTTGTTTAAAACAAAATACTTTAATTTACATAGAAGAGACTACAAAATACAAACTCGATCAGAGTGCTCATAATTAACGACTTATTACATGCCAACACTCTATACACAACAAAATACATACTTTGTCGATTACTTCTGATCTGATCTTCTAGTAGTGATACTGTCGTTGCCACTTCTATTACTGCTCTTCTTGTTTCTTGGTACCTACGTGTAAATCACTTACACGCTAAGTCATAGACTTAGTGAGACAATAAATGAACATGTAACAATAGATTCATAAATATGCATTCTTACCATTTGATCATGACATTTCAATATGCATATATATATATATATATATATATATATCATGACATATATAATCATGTCATGCACACATGAAACTTACCTTCTTGTATCACTTTTACTTTAATTTATCTTTCAATTGTATTGCCCATGTATATTATTGAGAATAGAGGTATGTGAGTACATTGAGGTTGTGCACCAATGCTGTCACCACAGCTCGTATAAATTCCCTCATGGGGCACCGAACATTTGTTCAGTATTCGTCCCGAAGGACTGCTATATATGTCCCGTAGGACCACTATGTCCCGAAGGACTACAACACCCTCGACTCTTGGCATGCCAACTATACCTATAGCTCTCGTATCATATACTATAGGAATTTACGATGAATACTTTTCTCATCACTTGTTCTTTCTTTTCTGTCACATACCACATGTATGTGTAACCATGTATTTCATATCATATCACATGTATCACATATTGCATATTCATATATCATTTCATATATTCACATAACTTATCTCATTTCACATTGGTCATGTCTCATAGCATATATCACATATGCATATAATCATGTATATCATATCATATATCTTATGTTTTATGCTCTTATGTTTATGCATATCATGTAACATATATAATAACCTATACTCATTTCATGTATTCATGCACATATAAGAATCACAAATTAAATAACATTTTAGGAGTCACTTCTTACCATAGTAACTCCATCACTGGCTCATCGCAAGTCAATGTCCGTTCAATAATATAAGTACAATTAAAATTGCACTCACCTTAGCCTTGTTTTCTTTGATTCGATCCTAATCCTTTGATTATTTCGGAACTTGTTTAAACTCAATATCTACATAAATATAACATTTCAAAACAACTATCAGAAGCCTAAACCTTAAACTTGATGTTAACAACTTAAGCCAGCTTAAAGAACCAAATTCC